GAAGCTTCGCCTGAGCGCATATTGCTTCCTTTTTTAAAAAAATGGCGGGGGAAAGCCGGAAGCCTCAGGCTTCCAACGGAAGTGTCTCTGTAACGGAGGAGAGCAATCAGACGCCGGGGTGCACCAATTACAACCGTTGCACTCTGTTTACCACCACTTCGGACCTAGTGGCAGATTGCAACGGTTTAAAGGGCTTTACAACGGTTAGGGACGGGAGGCAGATGTTCGCCGTGTGAACGCCCGTAAGTACACCGGTTGGAACCGGCACCCTAACCGTTGTAAATCCCCCGTCTGAACGCACCCACTATGTCACTTCCGTGTTTTCCCCGGAAGTGGCATAGCACTGCCATCTGATGGTGTCCCCATGTCCCCTTCCTCACAATTCCTCACTTTGCCAAAGTATCACAGAAGGAGAATAAGAGCACAAGAAGAGTCCTGCCGGATCAGACCAGTGGTCCCTCTAGTACAGCATCCTGCCTCACACAGTGGCCCACCTCTGGAGAGCCAACCACAGAGCAGAGAGGCCAGGGTTTCCCCTGATGCTGCCTCCTGGCACTGGGATTCAGAGGTTCAGTGCCTCTGAATGTGGAGGAATAAGAAACAAAGGAAAGGCCAAAGGAGAAAGGGAGAAAGACACTGGGGAAATAAAGAAGCAACAGGAAGCGGAGTCCTCCTTGGGTTGCCAGCTTTGGTTTGGGAAATACCTGGAGATTTTGGGAGGAGCCTTGGGAGGCTGGGGTTGGGGAGGAGACTTTAGCAGGGTATAATGCCATAGAGTCCACCCTCTGAAACGGCCATGTCCTCCAGGGGGACTGATCTAGGTTGTCTGGAGATATGTTGTAATAGCAAAGGGACCTCCAGGTGCCACCGTGTTGAAATAATAAACACAATATTCACATGTACTTATAGCTAAATATATTTGCTTTTTATACACAACATCAACTCTAGTGTAGTGTAAACGCTTTCAAACTACAACATCAACATTTCAAACCCTTTCAAACTAAATGACATAACACGAAGACTCCATCATCGCAGAAACCCACTCCAATATAAACTGTCTTCTTCCTGATGGAGGATAGATACCAATGTACAGTTATTTGCACCGAACGATGCAGCAACCTATTGTGCATTTCCCAAGTGGTGATCCATCAGGTAAAGCCAGCAGGCAGCTTGTATTTCTCACTGTGATGATTCGACTTAGCCAGCAAGCCTAGTAGGTGTATTTTCCCATGAGGTGATTCAGCTAGCAAGCAGGCCTAGCAACACGACTCCCGGGCATAACCTGCGTGTTTCGAACAAATCTTCTTCAGGCATAAATTTTTCTGGAACTGAACAACAATACATATCATAATATAATATAAATTCAGTATCCTTACATAGTACCAGGAAAAACGGGGGGGGGGGAGGCTAAATTTCCCACACTCACCCACAGCTCTTGAATTTACCCCTGCATAAGTCAAACAGTGTAAACATGGCTGTTTTGCCTTTATAGGTAGGCACTGGAGCAAAATCACCTCACAAGCAATTTTTAGGGCTTTCTTGAAACTTTAAATTCCCCTCTGAATTTGTGGTAAACTGTGCTGAGAAAGGCGCCGGCTAAGGCTTTGTTCTGGATCTTTGCCCTCACCAACCTACAACGGTAGATAAGAGCAGGAGTCCAGTCGCGCCCTGAAGGCTAACAAAACTGGTGGCAGGGTCACGACTCACAAAAGCTCCTCCCCTGCCACCCAATTTTGTTTAGTCTTTAAGGTGCGACTGGACTCTTACTCCTTTCTGCTGGTACAGACAGACGAACGCGGCGGCCAATGTTCCCTCTAAGCTGTGGAGTCTTGTGAGCAAAAATTCTACTTTGTGAGCTCCTGGCATTAAAGTTGTGAGCAGGTAATTTGGCTGCTGCATAGATTAGTTTGCACTGGAGCCCCATCCTTCCTGAGCGAAGGCAAAAATGTGTGAGCTGGAGGCTAAAAAACTGCGAGCTAGCTCACACTCACTCAGCTTAGGGGGAATACTGGCGGCGAACCATCTAGACCAATGCTTCCTCTAAGCTGCGGAGTCTTGTGAGCAAAAATTCTACATTGTGAGCAACTGGCATTAAAGCTGTGAGCGAGCCATTTGGCTCCTGCATAAACTAGTTTGCTCTGGAGCCCTCCTTCCTGAGCGAAGACAAAAATGTGTGAGCGGGAAGCTAAAAAACTGTGAGCTAGCTCACACTAACTCAGCTTAGAGGGAACACTGATCTAGACCTACGGTTATTTAACTGTCTGCGATGATATCTTTGAAACAGAGAGGAAGACATGGACTACACCTTGGAGGACACGCAGCGCAAGGAGAAACTCCTGAGGACAGTCTACGCCCTCCACGTTAAATCCGACGCCACCTTTCAGAAGGCCAGCCCACTCCTGAGCAGTCACCGTGGTCTGGGGATGGTGACGGAGCATCAAGTCCACGAGCTGGCCGAGAAAGCCAAGGTAATTTGCCACGACCTGGACAATATCCGAAACCACCTCTTCTACCGGCAGAACGACCTGATGCAGCAGATCCCAAACCCCAGCGGCCGCCATTACAGGGGTGTCAGCGGAATCCATTGCGCCTTGGATGGATCGATTTACGTGACTTGCGAGAGCGCCCCCAGGGTCCACGTCCTCAGTCGCTCGGGCCAAGTGGTTCAGTCTCTGCCGTGTGTGGAACTGAGGAAGAAGGAGGCCTTTCTGCCAGAGGACGTGACCCTCACCAGGGCCGGGATGGTGGCCGTCACGGACATGGTGAACGGAACCCTCCGCGTCTTCAACCATCACTCAAAGTTCTCCAAGGGCGAATGGGTCAAAATCGGCCAGTTTTGTTCCCCCCGGGGAATCGGAGTGGACGCATCCGGCAAGTTACTGGTGGCAGACTACACAGAAGGCAAAGTCCACAGCTTCGCTTTGGACCACGCTTTTAAGGTGCAGAGCCTTCACTCTGTGTCCGACCTCTGCGGGCCCCGCTATGTGTGTGCGGCACCGGAAGGGGGGTTTGTGGTGAGCGAAGAGTGTGGCGACGTCAAACTGTTCAACAACAGCCACAAGCTTCTCTTTCCCATCGGCGACAAATTCGGCCATCGTTTTGGCAACCCGGCAGGAGTGTGCGCCGACAGAGAGGGCAACGTCATTGTGGCTGATGAACAGCACCGGGAGATCCACTTGTTTCCCCGAAGCGGGTCCCCTATTTGCTTGGTGTCGAAAGGTCTTCAGAGACCGACGGGCATAGCGTGTTCCGGTCAAGGGTTGTTGTATGTCGCTGACTCCGGAGACGATAATATCAAAGTCTTTAAGTATCGGGTGAGACCCCCTTTCAATGCAGATGTTCTTTCTGCGTCCAATGATAGTCCAAACCTAACTCCCAGATGGAGGGCAGAATAGGATTCTCTAGCATCTCTCAGTAGTGTTGAATTTACCCTTCAGTCTTTTAAATGCACAAAGTTTGAGTCCAGTGGTAAATTTAAGGCCAACAGAGTTTCATTCTGCATGCACACAAAAGCTTATATCCATCATAAAACTCTGTTGGTCTTGAAGGTGCCGCCGGAGACTCAAACTTAGTTCTGCTGCTTCGGCCCAACACGGCTGACCCACCTGGATCCATCTTTTAAATGGTTTGCCATGTGACCTTACCTGAGGGGGGACATTCTTTTGACACATGAATTGTTCTGGTGGGAAAATGGGCTCGCTAGAGGTGACTAAAGGTAAAGGTAAAGGTTCCCTTGCTCGAAAGCCAGTCGAATCCGACTCTAGGGTTGCGGTGCTCATCTCCGTTTCCAAGCCGAAGAGCCAGCGCTGTCCGAAGATGTTTCCGTGGTCATGTGGCCGGCATGACTACACACCAAGGCGCACGGAACGCTGTGACCTTCCCACTGAAGTGGTACCTATTTATCTACTTGCAATTTCTTGCTTTCAAACTGCTAGGTTGGCAGGAGCTGGAACTAGAGACGGGAGCTCACTCCGTCACGCGGCACACTCGGGTCTCGAACTGCTGAACGACCGACCTTCCACAGCCTGCAGTTCAGCGTCTTAACCACTTAAGCCACCGCAGCTCCCCAGAGGTGACTAACTGAAGCCAAAAAAGAAAGGCAATAAGGCAGCTCCCCACAATGACACGGAAGGTCAAACGAGAGCTGAACAGAATAAAAAAATCCTCAGCAAGAACATACAAAGCTGCCTTATTGAATCAGACCACTGATCCATCAAAGGCCGTATTATCCAGGGTGTTAGGAAGAGGACTGTCATATCACCTATTACCCGACCTTTCAGGTGGGGACACCAAGGATTAGAACCTGGGACCTTCTGTGTGCCAAGCAGATGATCTACCATTGAGCCACAGCCCCTCCCCAAACAATAGGTATTTCTCCAGCCAGCATGTTAATGCATTCTCCTGTTTCAAGGAAAGGGCTCTCTCAGAGCTCAGCTGAAATGGAAGCTAAGGCATGGTTCATACATGCAAAAGAAGGAGGCAGCAAAGACCCCGTAATTATGCATTGAAACTGGATTTCACTTTTGTGGGTCCTTGTGCAAGAGGAAACATGCCTTCTCCTGCTAATGTGTAAAAGTATTTCTTTTAGGGTTATAGGGGGGAGAAGCCACCATAGTACTTGAATGTATGTTTCTTCCATCACTTGACGCTATTGAGAATTAGACCCCACCGCCTAATCACAACCAGGACAATATCAGTGTGTTGCGTTCAAAAGTTCAAAGTAATAAAAAGTTTGTAATGATCTCCACTTTTCTTGCTTTATGTATTTAATTTATAACTTCTTTTGGTTCTTTTCTTTAAAACACTCGGCTCAGGTAGTAAATAAATAAACAACGCAACCCAGTTCCAGGTTTTCCACACTATTTAGGGTCTGATATTGCTGAAAGGACCCTCTGTGGGATATGCCCTAAATCTCACCTTCCAAAGCAGCCATTTTCTCCTGGTGAACTGATCTCTGTCACCTGGAGATCGGTTGTAATAGCATGAGATCTCCTGCCAGGATGGAGGTTGGCAAACCTATCCGCCAGAGGTATGTTTATTTTGTTTATGTTTGTTTATATCAGGGGTCATTTCCTGCGGGAGCGCACAGGAGCGGAGCTCCAGCAGTAAGGAGTCCAGGGGGCGGGCACATGCACCAAGCCCCACCCCCTGCTCCCAGCAGCCCTCAGTCGGGCCACGAGGAGCAAGAAGCAGCCAGGTCAGTTGCAGAGCCCCCCCCCCCGGCCTGCCTTCAGGTACAAGCTGTCCCTCCTCTGCAAGGGCAGACCTGCGCGTTCCCCCCCCCCCAATCGCTAGCAATCCAAAACAGTCCAGTGCGTCCCCCCCCCCCAATAACTAGCAATCCAAAACAGTCCAGTGGAGCCTGAGCGGTGGGTGTTGCCTTCTGACACACTTCCGGTGAGTTCAGGGGGTGTGGCACATGCAAATAAGTTATGCTAATGAGTTATGCTAATGAGCTCCTGCACCTCTTTTTCTACGAAATGACCCCTGGTTTATATCTGTTAAGTCCGTACTTAACAAAGTAGTCAGAGAGTGATTTCAGCAAAACTCAGGTTTATTCAGCTCGACAATCAACTTCTCCAACACGGTACAACTCCTCATAGCCCGAACAGCTTGTCCATTTCAGCTGCTCGGTATTTAAACATTCCGGGCTAATGTAGCCACACCTACTGTACAAGTACCAACCTATCAGGTTGTTCGCATAGAAGCCCAATCACAAACGTTCCCACCACAGACAGTTCAAATGTGATTGGACACAATACTTTCGGCGCGAATCCTAGCCGACGTCTGAAGCTTAGCATAGCTTCTCTATGGGATGATTCACACTTCATCCCCATGCATTCAGGGCAGCATCTGAATACATTACAATATCCCACCTTCCTTCCGTCATAGACCTCTGGGTGTTCTCCCAACTGGTCACTGATCAGACACCGACCTACTTCTTTGCAAGACTGCAGCCTCACACATCTTCCAACCACATCCTGGGACCATCTAACAGCCAGGTTTGCCCCTGTCTTTACAGATCAAAATACCGGCACAGGAGGGCTGTACAAGCCTAGGGTTGTAGGCTTCTGCAAACCCAAGGAAACCCAGGTCACACTAGGAAGTTGGAAAGGTGGCAAACAGATCTGCTTACTTTGGATCTGACTGTTTACGAAAGTCATGCAACGCAGGACGGCCTAAGGGGGCTGTTCTATAGCACTATCAGCTTTCTACAGAAGTGTGCAGTGAAAGAGACCACAGTTCTGGGAACTGCAGAGGGAGATCTAGCCAGACTTCATACAGGAAGCTTATCTGGAAGAGGTGGGCTTGGTATCAGGGGAGAAAAGTGTGCCCCACCCAGGGGTGTGGAACTATGGGTGAGCAACGGCTTTTGTTTGTTTGTTTGAGTAGGGGAACTGCTATTGTGGGCAGCTGAGAGCGTTTTTTGCTGTTGTTTTGGAGGTTTGTTTTGTGTTTTCCCAGGCAGCCACAGCTTTACCCCGGGACAATACGCTCAGGTGAGTATGAGACTAGAGTTGCCAACCTCCAGGGCCGGTGGGGCTTGGAGATCTCCTGGGGTTACTACGACTGATCTCCAGGCCTCCTGGAGGCCCCCCAGATAGAAGGGTTTGGGGCCAGAACCAGTGTTTGTACCGGGCAGTGCTGTCTGTCTCCTTGCAGGGGGCAGTCCCCAGAGTCTGGGGATGTGTCATTTGGGGTGGCCCACAGATTGCTTTGTGAGTGCCGCCTGGCCCCCGTGTCTGCCTGTGTGATTGTCCTGGGGGCACTGCACTTTGGAGCGGCAGGCACAAGAACCGGGCTTTGGACCAGGACACAGCATATGTCCCCCTCGAAGGGGAGAGTCCGCTGAAGACGGGGGTGCATGAAGTGTGGGGGTCCCAACCAATGCTCCGTTTAAGTTGTGGAGTCTTGTGAGCAGAAATTCTACTTAGTGAGCTACTTGGCATTACAGTTGTGAGCGAGTGATTTGGCCACTGCATAAATAAGTTTGCACTGGACCCATCCTTCCTGAGCTAAGGCAAAAATGTGTGAGCCGGAGGCTAAAAAACTGTGAGCTAGCTCACACTCACTCAGCTTAGAGGGAACACTAGTCCCAACCTTATTTTGGCTGCAGAGGGCACTTCCTTATTCAAATCTCCTTTGAAATACAGGCCTTTTGGAGGCCCCCCAAAAAGAAGGGTGTGGGGCCAGAACCAGTGCTTGGACCGGGCGGTGCCATATGTCTCCTTGCAGAGAACAGTCCCCAGAGTGTAGTGGTGTGCCATCTGGGGGTGGTCCAATGATTTTGGGGGGTGGTTGCAGCCTGGCCCCAGTGTCTGCCTGTGATTGTCCCGGGGGCACCGCACTTTGGAGCAGCTGGCACAAGAACCGGGCTTTGGACCAGGAAACAGGCTATATCTTCTTGAAGGGGAGAGTCCCCTGAACCTGGGGGTATATGACTTGTGGTGTTCCAGAGCTTATTTTAGGGGTCAGAGCTTTGGTTTCACGAATAAGGAATGAATAAAGAACTGCGAATAAGGCACCAACTTCAGCCTCTGGACTATGATTCAGGGAGACCTTGAGTTAGGCGGAGCGAAGCGGAACTCAAAGTTTAGGGGCAGGGGGGTTTGCACGGAACGGAGCGGCATTGGGACGGGCAGCAGAGGGGAGATCTGTGGAGGGACGGACCGCGTCTCCTAGCAACCGCTCACTGAAACCCGGAAGTGATTTGAATATCTATGGAAGCGGGCTTTTCTCTCCGTTTTCTTTCTTTCCCTGCGGGTTAAAGGAGCCTGCGAGAAGAAAGAGGAGGTGAGCTCTATCTATCTATCTATCCATCCATCTATCTGTCTATCTAGTACTGCTCATACGGCTATCACCTTAAGCACAAATCAGGACCAAAGAAAACATTTTAAAAGACCTTAGTATCGTTTCTCTTATATCTGATTATTGCGCCTGTGGATTTTGCCACTGAGAGGGTGACAGGCTCATTGGTATCCGATAGTAACCATGAGCCATGCCTCCCTCTAAGCTGTGGAGTCTTGTGAGCAAAAGGTCTACTTTGTGAGCTGTTGGCATTAAAGTTGTGAGCGAGCGATTTGGCTGCTGCATAAATTTGTTTACACTGGAGCAATGCTCCCTCTAAGCTGTGGAGTCTTGCGAGCAAAAAGTCTACTTTGTGAGCTCCTGGCATTAGAGTGGTGAGCGAGCGATTTGGCTGCTGCATAAATTAGTTTGCTCTGGAGCCCCATCCTTCCCGAGCGAAGACAGAAATGGGTGAAACGGAGGCTAAAAAAACTGTGAGCTAGCTCACACTAACTCAGCTTAGAGGGAACACTGCTCCTCCCCAATGCTCCCTCTAAGCTGTGGAGTCTTGTGAGCAAAAATTCTACTTTGTGAGCTCCTGGCATTAAAGTTGTGAGCAAGCGATTTGGCTACTGCATAAACCGGTTTGCTCTGGAGCTCCACCCTTCCTGAGCTGAGACAAAAATGTGTGAGCCGGAGGCTAAAAAACTGTGAGCTAGCTCATACTGACTCAGCTTAGAGGGAACACTGAGCCCACGACACCTGGGCTCGCACATTTAGCATTTCCATATCTTTAAGTAAAGGGGGCGACTAAATTAGTCCTCGACTGATCGAATACAGGGCACTCCGTAATCACATGTTCAATGGTTTCGATTGTACGATATGAGCACCTGCGTGTTCTAATGCAGTGTGATACTTTATTATCTCTGCCTTCCAGAACTGCCGAGGGAAGAACGTTCGGTCTTGCCGAAGTAAAAGCTCTTCTTAGTTTTGGGACTGTCAGTTGATAGAAATATTTCGGCGGTTGCCTCGGGAGGAAGTGAGTGCTGAGGGGTGAAGGAGAGCCCTTTCCCGGAGGCGGGAGGAGAAGGGTACGAGTATGATGCAGGGGGAAGGGCTGGAACCAGGGCTGCTGACGCTGAGGCTGGGGTCTTCTAGGTAGACCTTTAGCAGCCATAAGATGTGGACCAATCTAGAAAATCATGAGTTAAGGAGAACGTTTGCCCTCATGAGGTGGGATGCCCTCCCTTCAGCGGTGACAGAGGGGAGGTTTAATTAAAAAAACCACCTTGCTGATCGTATATGTCGCTGTGTGACGGTAGACCTTTAGCAGCCATAAGATGTGGACCAATCTAGAAAATCATGAGTTAAGGAGAACGTTTGCCCTCATGAGGTGCGATGCCCTCCCTTCAGCGGTGACAGAGGGTAGGTTTAATTTTAAAAAAAACCTTGCTGATCGTATATGTCGCTGTGTGACTCAGTGTTGGGCTGGATGGGCCTTTGGCCTGATCCAACATTGGCGTCTCTTATGTTCATATGAGTGGGAGAAAGGAGAATGATGTATGTTGCTCTGGGCTACTTGACGGAATGTCTCTTAAATAGAGATAATAATTGGCCTAAGATCACCCAGTCAGTTTTTGTGGCTAAGAAGAAGCCGGGGTTTCCCTGTGAACAGCTGTTCTTCCATTGCATTCTCTCAAGCTTGTTGTTGATGCACACAGATCACTTCAGATGCTCCCAGATTTCACAGAGGGGCGACAGTGTAGTGCTGGGAGACCTGGGATCAAATCCCCGATCTGCCAGAAAACTTGCTGGTGACCTACCTTGCAGGGTTGTTGTCTGGGTAAGATGGCAGTGTGTGCCACCCTGAGTTCCTTGGAAGAAGGGTGGGATAAAAGCATGTGAGATAAAACATAGGGCATAGATAGAGGCTCTGGAGTCATGAGATACCTGGACAGACTCTTAGATCCTCCCAGCGAAGTTTACTTTCCCTCCTCTCTCCTAAAAAAAAAAGGGAGATCTATGGCCACCAGGGAAAGAATTTGCTTTTGTGGTAGCCTCGTCTCTGTGGAATGGTCTTCCAGTTGGCGTAAGGACGGCTTTTTCCCGGGATGACACATCTCCAGGGCCCAAACTGCACATGATGGCAAATGCATAGCCCATCTCTCCAGCTGTCTCACTGGCGCCACTCAGTTAAATAAACGTGATGGAGTGATTTAACTGCCACCGTGCTCTGTGTTT